CCCGAGTTGACTATTTTCTCTTATTCTGAACTCATGGTTGCAACCAGAGGTTTCAGGAGTGATGCAGTGCTGAGAGAAGGCGAATTCAGTGCAATAACCCAAGCTTGGCTTCAAGACAAATCCACATCAAAGAGTAGCAGTGAAGCACTAGTTGCTGTTAGAAAATTTTACTCGCAAAATATGCTACTATTAAATGATTGGCAGGTAGATTAACCCGCAAATAGAAACTACCTCTTCTCTGACAAATTTTTGCAGTTCATTTGGAACCCAATTTCCTTTTGGCTCACAAGCGTTACTCCAAATTCAATTGGTCTTTTCTGGCTCTTACAATACTAGAACATAATCTTCCTACACTTTCTGTTAATGTATGCTATCATCTTCCCTTGAAGTAATTTACTGTTGGCATTGATATGGTAATTGCATTAGATAAGTTTAATAACTCCTCCAAGTATATAGTGAAGAACTCTAACTTGCTTTGTCCAATCTTTTCTAAGTTGCTTATTCGTTTCACATTTTCTTGAGCAGTCTCGGGTATGCTTGCTTGGAAGGCTCTCACATCCAAACTTAGTCGAGTTCCTTGGATATTGTTTGGAAGACGAAGAGCTATTCGTTGTTCATGAATATATGCAAAATGGCAGCCTAGAGAACCATCTCTTTAGAAGTGAGGTTTAGACTAATATGCTCTAATAGTTACTCAAACTAAGCCTCATTTACTGATAGTAAGCTTCAGATGAAATAATTTTACTTTGATGTGTTTAGCAAGCTCCGATGTTCGGCCACTTTCTTGGGACATAAGAATTAAGATCCTAATTGGAGCAGCTCGAGGCCTGGCATTCTTGCATGCGGCAGAGTGGCAAGGTTACTATGAATACTTCGGCACCTCAGACATCTTGCTTGATGGTGTCAGTTAAAATCTATTTGCGCAATGTTCTCATGAAATGTATTTGCCAAAACTTAGAGGTTTCTGTATTATCAGGACTACATAAAGTTTAACATGAATGCTGAGTTTTTTCTTTGAATTATTGATGACAATATCTATTACCGATGAAAAACTCATTTTCTTTGAATTTTGGTCATATTTTTTGTTGACAGTCTTACAATGCCAAGATATCAGGTATTGGCACAACAAAGATTGTTCGTCGAAATGTCTTTAATGAAGTACATCCTCTTTGGTATGAAAAGGGAAAGTATTTTAATGCTCCTCCTGAGTATGATCTGAGAAAAAATATCCCAACAGGTAATATTGCCAGCTTGACTGTTTGAGCTTTTAAAATTGAGCCCACTACTGAGTACTCACCAAAGTTAAGCTCTTGGACATGCTCGATTGGATTTAAAACAAATTTGAGTAACAAAAGAAAAATGTTATAAATTCTAATCATCAACTCATATGTAACAGGGCTTATGAATGTGAAGGGCGATGTGTTTGGTTTTGGTGTGGTATTGGCTGAAATGCTAACAGGTTTATCAGCAAAAGGTAGATATCGCCTTAGTTGGGGAGAGCACCATCTGGTTCCATTTTTCAGGTACCATATGAATCTGGAGAAGATCCAACTGGAGAAAATTATGGATCCCCAATTAGAGGGAAAATATCCAGCAAAAGCTGCTCAAAAATTAGGAGCTCTTGCTTGTTTATGTCTTCAAGATGAACCTGAATTCAGATTAACAATGAAACAAGTTGTGGAGATATTAGAACGCTTTGAATCTGCTAAGGAATAAGCAGAAGAGCCTAGGACAAATCAGACAGCTTATGATCATGACTACCACCCTCAGCATTCTTAGTTTTCCACTTCTACAAAGCATTGGTGGAAATCCGTCCCATAAAAGCTGACCTATTGCTTTCATAAATAAACATAACAGATCCTTAAATATTTGTCCTGATTAGTTGGTTGATATGTAATCTGTTCGTTCTTGTTCCTTTTTGTAATCTCAGCTTCGCACTGGTTTAAAAGCAAGTTCTCCGAAGAATCAGCTCGGACCAAAGAATGCATACCTACACAATGAATTAGTTTAGCATTCAACAAAAACTAATTGTACACTGAATTGACTTTGAAAAAGATGTAAGTGCAATTAGAGTCTGAAGTAATAGAAGATAATAATTTGTTGGATTGATTCCTTCAGTCTCATCTTGAGATTACTGATGAAGGACAATTAACATGGTGTTGTGAAAATCAACCGTCAGAGAAGAAAATGGAGTTTCTTAACGGGACTGGAAGGGAAAGGGAAGTGTAGTGAGGAAAAAGTACTCAGGAAGATCATATCCACAGGTTAACTTTTCTGGCAAAGATTGTTGTAACTTTGACTCGATGACTGGATAGGAATTTGTTCTTGGAGACATCAGAGAAAAGAGAAGGGGAGGGGAACTACACTCTAGGCCCTTCTTGCTTAAGGATTCTATGTATCATAAGATAGAACGTCATCAATGGTTTAATGTTTGAAGTGATGGCGCATTTGTTCTCTTCTGAAATGTGGAGAATATGAGGAAACAGTCAATTTTCAGTTCATTCATATACCAAAGCTGGAATTTCGAGCCAGATTTGGTGCCTGATCCTGTAAGGAAAATTTCCCTTACTCTCAGAACCTGATCTGGCCCAAGATTTGGTTTGAAACAAACAGGAATATAGTGCCATGAAAAGCTCTAGAGCTGATCTCTTTACCACTGAATCCCTCGTCTAAAATTTGTTGTTTCTTTACAACACCATGAAACATATGTCCAGTATCTGTGAGGTCAATTATTCTGGTGAAGTTGTTCATCGCACCCATGAGTGTGAAGCAACGAATGGGTGTTTTTTGTATCTTCCACCAAAAGAAGCAACTAGCTCCTCTAATAGGGAACTGCCATTCTCAAAGAAGAAGAGTGATGTTTCTTGTTTCCTAAAAATTGGTAGTAGCATTTTCAATTCTTCGTTCTTTGGTTCATTAGGAGGTTGCAGTGGGATTCAATTAAACGAGACAGTGAAATATTTAAAATTTTGGAAGAAGTATGAACAGAACTAGGAGCTGCCAATCTCATATGGTTGACTCTTTTGAGTCTCATATGGTTGACTTTTCTGATATAAAAGTATTAAAGGCACACTCTTCGAGAAAGAACCAAGCAGATGCTAGCTGGCTTTGTTTGAACTTCGGCAAACATTTGTTTGATTAAGAACTTCGGCAAACATTTTTTTTATATAACTAAATGAACTTGTAAATACTAAATGACAAGTTGTAAAATCTAATAAAAAAAGCAAGTATAAAAATCACAAGTAAATCAAACATTTTAACTAAGTGTAAGTTTGAATCAAAAGATGTACATTGGATGAGTAAACCGTAAGACTAATGACAAAAAAAAAAAAAATCACAAGATTCATGAACATATAAATAAAGTGTAATATCAAATCATATACAACTAAACAAAGAAATATATAAAAATCTATTCCTTAAAAGTATAAGGATTGAAGAGAAATGAAGTACATGATAGTCATGTAGGAATAATTGGTGACTTGACAAGTGACATGACATTTATTATAACAAGAGGACAAGTCATTTAAAGAATTGATGAGTCATTAATTCACAGTAAAAAAAAAAAGTTGGATAGGTCTCAATTTGTCACGTCATAATAAGATCTTGATATTATGATCTCAATATAATGTGTAGCAGCGAGCACATGAAAAATTGTGCCAGGTAAATAAATAGGAAACGGCTAAAGGAAAAAAGTAAGATAGATAATCCACTTTTCTAATAACAATACTATCTTTCAAATTAGGATTCTTTACTAATTTAAGCATTGTAGTGTATTCCAGGGGAGATAACCCCATTTTTTTTTTTATGGGTTTTCTACTCTAGACGAATTCATCAAGGCTCGAGTGTACAAGCAGGTGCTAGGTTTTATTTTTCCAACGAGCATTTTAACTAACACTAATCCTGAGGCAATTTTCATTTGGTTTTCTCTTTACATATTATCACGAGGGGTTGAGTGGCCATTTTTAAATCATAGGGGGGATTCCGTGGTATTAAGTGAAACCACGGGTATACACAAATTTGTTCAAAGTGTTCGTGAGAAGACATGTGATTCGCTTTCAAAGTCGACTGAATAATACACCAACTTAAATATTTCATTCTCCCAGTTGTCTACATCATTAAGTTTTCAACTGAAATACATTGCTGCTCTTATTAAAGAATTTAAGATAATCTGAATTTGATGGGTTATTACTATTGATTACGTGATTCTCAAAGGAAAGTATGATTCTAGTGATCGATAGATCATAGATGAGTAGGAGTTATGACAACTGGGAAAGCTGGTCACGGCCACCCTGCGGAGAGAAGACGACCGCATCATTGCTCAGAGGACCCCAAGCGAGCTTTCCTTGGCATCATTATCATCAGTTTCCTCCTTTAATCTTGCTTCTTCCACTTGCCGAGTTTCATCTTTCTGCTTCTCCAGCTTATTGGCTGGGGAATCGTTTTCATACAATCAAATTCTCCAAGCGACAGATTGGTTCAGTGAATCTAACCTCATCAAGCATGGTAGCTCTGGGGATCTCTTTTATGGAGTTTTGGAAGGAAGAACTCAAGTGGTAGTTAAAAAAATCGATCTTTCATCGGTCAACAAATAATCCCTTTTTATAGCAGAGTTGGAGGTTCTTGGAAAGGTTTCTCATCATCATAGATTCGTCCCACTGGTTGGTCAATGCTTGGAGAACGCGAATGAGAAGCGTTTGGTTTACGAGCATATGGTTAATAAGGATTTGTCGACTTCTTTGTCTAGAAAAATCGAATCAGGTAATCGTAGAAAATTACCATTCCTGGACTGGATAACAAGGTTGAAGATAGCAACTGAAGTTGCTGAGGGTCTGTCTTATCTACATGAATGTGTCCCTCCCCTTGTTCATAGGTTGCAAAGTTTTCCTCATTAATTTTGTGCCCAGCAGGGTTTTATTATTTGCATTTTTATATTGGTTTTTGGAACGTAACCTGCAGCTTATCTTTACTATTTTAGCGACATTCAAGCAAGTAGCCTACTTCTCGATGACAAGTTTGAGGTGAAGTTAGGAAGCCTTTATGAAGTCTGTGCAGAAGAAAAAGACATGCGTCAGACTGCTACTTCAGGTTTGTGCAGTAGCTTAAGTTAATATTTCTTGTGTTCATTGTGACATCCTTTCAGTATTTCTCTAGAATTATCTGTATTTTAGTTTTTGTGGTTGCAGAAAAAGAGATAAGTGCCATGTGAGTACTTATATCTAAAATTCTTTACGAGAATGAAAGCGTATCTGTCAGTTAAGAAAATAACATAAGCATCCGCAACTGAGTCAAAATGATTGGAGCAATGATTCCATTTCTTGTTTTGACATCGATAGACATCATAGTTGTAGGTTGAGGGTATCCGGATTCGGCATATAATGCTAAAAGATCAAATTTAGAGAGTGTATGTTTAACCTGGTCCCTTTCAACAAAATTTATAGTCAAAGCAGTCTATTGTATCAAGCCAAGCGTAGCCTTATACTTCATTAGCATAGCATCACGATTGCAACATCCCTGCCATCTGCCCTCTTGAACATGGAAAAGGGACCAAGAATTAACATCTTTAGTTGATATGACTTCTTTCGGTTGGATTGAAACTCTATGCTCTTGAGATTTTACATGTGAGACTGGCGTTACATTCTTCTTTTCCATGATTCTACAAGTATTTGGTTCCTGCGGGGTGCCTTAGCCATACCTGCAAAAGTGAAATTAACCATTCATTCTTTTGCTCCCCCAGTTTTCGAATTTTACTTCTGATTTGTATTCATTCTTCTTCTGCACAGGGCATTTGGAGAAGGCACTTTTGGTAAGTAATTTTCATTCAGTTTTAGTTCTACACCATCTGATATATTATTCCAAATGGTTGAATCAGCATAAAGTATACATAGTGTAACCTTAAATACTTAAGAGTTCAGTTCAAAAAATTGTATATTCTTTATTCCAGTATAGACCTGATTTTGCTAAAAGAACCTCATATGTAGATGTCTATGCTATACCATACAAGGAAAAACCATCTTTATGAGCATTTTACGGTAATAAGGATATATGGAGCAGTATTGGACTGATATTCCCAGTTAAAAGAAGGAAATGATAGAGATATTGAATAGAATTTTCCAATTCAGTTAAGGGGTTGCTTTTCTTCCCAATGTTACATGACAATTGCTAAAGCAAACAGAACCATTATTGCTCTCAGCTGCAGCACCAACAACTTCACTGCTACAAGATATCAAGAGGGCATCGGTCATTTGGGACCAAGAAGCTGGTAGGTATGTTTCTGTCCCAGTTCCAGCTTCAGATACACGTGGTAGATCATTCGTACCTGAAGGGTCAAAGACAAGTACAGGACTAAAAAATGATGACAAGAGGCCAGTAACTTTTTTGTCTCCCGGTAATCATTAGTGAATTTCATTTAGACAGTTAAAATGGTTGCTAATGTGCTGCATAATCTTGTCTAAATTAGTCTATTATCTTAAAAGATCAGGTACATCTAATGACAGTTATGCATCATGTGCCTATGATGTTTATAGCTTTGGAAAGGTTCTGCTTGAGCTAGTCACTGGAAAGCTGGGTTTAACTGCCACAGATGATTCCGCATTGAACGGTTGGATGGAAAATGTGCTGTCTTATATTCTCCCTGATGATGTGGAAGTTGTTGTAAACATCATTGACTCGTCTTTGGTCAGAGCTAAGCATCTTTTGGCCCAGGCATGGGCTGTTTCTTTTATTGCTAAGGCATGTCTCAGTCCTGAATCTTCTGAACGACCCCGGATGGCTCAGATACATCTTGCTTTAGAGCATATTGAATCAGCAAGTTTCACTAATAAAAACCTCAACTTCACCGGTAATCATGACTCAGTTAGATCTGCAGCTATGGAGATTGCAAAGATACTTTGGGGATGCAAAATAGTAGGGTGGTTTTGTGAATGTCCTTAGCATTTTGATAATTTCAAATGAGAAATGCCAAAGATAAAACTATATCTTGCAGGGAAGACAGCACGGGCAACTGCTTCTGGAACAACTCTGGGCGGAGGCACTGCCTCAAGGAACCATCGAATCTCAGAAGCTAGTGACTTTGAGGAGACCTATCCAAAGGGGGGGATCTTCACTCAGCCCAATTTAACTATTTTCTATTATGCACAACTCAAGGCTGCAATTAGACATTTTGGGAGTGATATAGGGATGAGAGAACTGGAATTTGGGAGAGTATACCAAGCATGGCTTCAAGACAAATCCAAGTCAATGCATGGCAAGGGATCCATAGTTGCTGTTAGAAATTTGTTCTCCGAAACTAAGCAGCTATTAAAGGTAATGGAAACCAAGCTTGTGAGTAGTAACTAAATTTAGATACTCTAACAAACTCTACTCCTTGCAATTGTATCTAATTCATTTTACCTCACAAGTATTGCTCTTTATTTCAAATGATCATTCTACCTCATACAACACTAGAACATATCCTCCAAAGCTTTCTAAAAATATTTTGCTGTCAGCTCTATTTCAATAATCTATCATTGGCAAAGTCGGTGGTAATTGGAAATTATGTAATCGACAGTGTTTGCTTTGTGGTAACTTATTCAAACTTCTATCAGTTGCTGATGTTTTAGTATTCCATTTTCTGGGCAGTCCCGTATAAGCTCACTTGGAAGGCTTTCTCATCCTAACCTAGTCAAGTTCCTTGGATATTGCGAGGACAAAGAGCTATGTGTTGTCCATGAATTTGTGCAAAGTGGCAGCCTAGACAACCATCTCTTTAGAGGTGAGATTTTGATCATATTGCTCTATTAGTATCTCAAACAATCTAAGCATCATCTACTGTATAAATTTTCCATTGAAACAATCTTAATACTTGGATGTCTCTAGCGGGCTCTGAAGTTCAGCCACTTTCCAGGGACACAAGACTTAACATTCTAATTGGAGCAGCTCGAGGCCTAGCATTCTTGCATGGAACACAGAAGCAAGGTTTTTATGAATATTTCGGTACCTCAGACATCTTGCTTGATGGTGTAAGTAGAGAAGCAAAATATTTGACCAAGACAAGTTTATTGGATGTGCAATCAAATAATATATATCCAATTATCCACCAGAGTTTATCAAACTACTTCAAAAGATTTAAAATGCATGCCGCCTTTTTATATCTTCAGCAAAACTGCTGACAAATCATTTACTGATGCAATTCTCATCCATCTCAATTTTGGTTTACTATCTTGTTTTCAGGCTTACAATACGAAGATATCGGGTTTTGGCACTGCAAAGATAACCCCTCTAAGTTATCTCTATGATGTACATCCTAATTTTTTTATGAATGGAAGATATGTTGATGTTTCTCCTGTGAATGTCTTCCCAGGTGCAAATGCAGGTAACCCATCCAGATTGATCTCTTGAGATTCTAGACTACCGGTTGGGGATCTTGTGCTACAAAAGCACTACCAAAGAAATTAAAACTCCAGTGGTAGCTTAATCGGATTAAAAAAAAAAATTTTGACTTGACAAAAAATGAGATTATAATACTAATAATTGTCTCTCTCATGTTAGAGAGCTTATGAATGTTGACAGGTGCCGAACCTGTGCAATAATAATAAATAAAACCTAACTACCACCAAAAGCAGTCAATAATCAATTCTAAGTACTGGAGTAGGGACTCTAGGTGTGCAATGGATTACTTGATTCACCCTGTTCTCGAAGAGTTTGCTTAATCCGATATACCAGAATTAATTATCTGACTAAATTCATTAACTAGTAGACAGTGACAAGTAGGGTCGTCTTCTCAGGAACTGGAGAGAAATTTGTTTTTTTTTTAGTCAAGAATAATGGGGGGTTTAAGGATTAAATGCTAACTAAATAAATAAATCAAATATGAAAAATAATTGATTGACAGAAATAAATGGGGAAACTCTAGCCAAGGGTATACTTCAGAAATGGTTCAGACACTGATTATTGATTCACAAATAATTCCAACATTTATTAATAGATTGGTTATAGCTGTCATGCATGCGATAAACAACCAACCTTTTCTTAATTTATCGATAGTCAAGGTACAATCGTTGACTATTTCTCTAACCCGAAAACAATTCTAGGTATGACCGTAGGATTTAATTTCTAGATTGCATTAAGACTTAGAAAAGCCCAAATCCTAACTAACAAACACGTTACGAGGGTTTGTTTAAACTAGATCGTATGTTTCCCTGACATAAACCCAATTATGCCAGTTGCTACCAGTACAGAAATAATTGAACAATTATGGATTCAACTACCCCTAATTAGCAAAATAGCTCACGTGAATAATTAAATATTGCGCACTATTCAATCATATACAAAAGTTATAACGATTAAAAACAGAAAACATACAAATACCAATAAATGGAGGAAGCAGTTAAAATAAATTCGATCTCACAGTAATTGTCGAACCAAATCCTCAGTTGTCCCCTTAACTAGAATTGGAGAGTTAGTTTTCCATTAATGGAAAACCATCCATGCGAATGGTTAGAGAAAGAGGCCCCCAAGACTTGACTTCCACAACTGATAGAAAGAAAGAAAAGATCGAAAGCCTAACAAGTAAAAGCCTCCCTCGGAGGAAGCTTGCGGAGCAGACCATGATGAATTAATCTCCCATCTGTCAATGTTGCCAGCCAACTCTTAATCACGCGAGATCCGGCTTTTTTCCTCTCATTTTGTTTCCTATTCAGCTTCTACTACTCACTGTTTCTTTCCAAACGTGAAAGAAGGAATAAAAATAGACTAGCTTCCTTTTTTTTCTTTCCTAAGAATTAGCAATCAAATGGGAGCCGGCCTTTTCTTTTCCTATTTTCTAGTTTCTCAAATACATTGAACTTCTTAATTTTCCTAAGAAGAAGAAATTTCCTCATAATTTAAGATGTTTCTCAATTGTATTCGAAAACATGCTTCGTAAGTCTTCGGCTTGAATTAGGAAACTACCATGCGTGAATCCCGTCATCTCTAGACTTGACAGTAATTCTTGAAAATTTACCCCTTTTATCACATGTTGCTCATTTTCCTACAATTGGCACCATTATACCAAATATAAGTAGAATCAATCAATTAAAATAATATTTAGCTAAAATCAAGGGGAGAATAATTATAAATTTAGCAACAAATTATGATCTATCAAATGTGAAGAGTGATGTGTATGGTTTTGGTGTGGTATTGGTTGCAATGCTAACAGGTTTGTCTACAAAAGGGAGACAGCGGCTTGGTTGGGGTGAAATCAATCCAGTTCTGTGCTTTATGGATCTCAAAAGAAACACATTGGAAAAAATTATGGACCCAAAGCTAAAAGGCCAATATTCTTTTAAAGCTGCACAAAAATCAGGTTCTCTTGCTTCCATTTGTCTTCAATATGATCCTGAATTCAGGCCATCGATGAAAGTTGTTGTCAAGGTACTTGAACATGTTGCAGCTGTTAAGGTGGAAACACAAAAGCCCTGGATAAATCAGAAAGCTCATCAACATGCCCAACAACTTTAGCCATCTTAATAGTTCTAGGATTCTATCAATGCTTTAATGAAATCCAGCCGATAATAGCTAACTGTTGTTTTCTCTCTTAAAAATTAATAGATCCTTTCGTATGCTTGTCCTGATTAGTTAACTGATGTCTTCTACAGCTTCGTGTTGCTTTGGCAATCTAAGCCTCATTTGTCTGTAAAAGATAATAGTGATTAGAGCTCTATAGTCCTTTGACGGATGTCCTTTTAAGAATCAGCTCGAGGGATCAAAATGAAATAAGAGATAATTTTAGATACCTCCCCTGAGGTTTCTGACAGTCTCACGCCCCTCTCCTGTGGTTTCAAAAATACCACAAACTTCCTCTAAAACTAAATAGTCAGTCTCAAAGTAGACCAAATTCAAAAATACAAACAATAAAAAATGGGGAGTTGGAGAGAGAAACAACTTATACCACAAATGCCCTGATTATCTTGCATTAGTGAGTTATCTCATATGAAGAATAATCAAGTGTAGCTTGTTGCAAAGTATAAATTTTACTACTTGTAATTGCTTTTAAAGTATGGTGTAGCTTTTGATAACTTGTAAAATTTTGCCTAGACAAGGTGTGTGATGTACACCGTGTTTATTGAAACATACAGCGTGTTACTCATTAATAACATTATATCAGATCTTTTTACTAGATGATTATTTGTTCTAATCGCTTATGAACTTGACCATTAGTGCTTATGAGAATGCATTAAAATAGATAAATAGTTTACTTCAACGAGTGGCAAGTACATAAATACTTAGTGAATGTAAAATATAGTTGAAATAATATACACCATGTAACTGACCAAGTACAATGTGCACCAATTATTGAATATGCGATTAGTTGTCCACATACATATTGCAATTAGCTGTTGTAGCCACAACTTGTACTGATTTTTAGTAAATATTTTTTACTTATATGAGTAGTACTGATTTGTTTGTAAACATCTTTTATAGTGTGATGCATAAATACAATTAGTTCACGAAAATGTACATCATCTTAGGTATTCATTACTTGAATGTGTATTTCTATGAAAGATAATGCAATGATATGCATACCTTTGGAATGGTTATTGATACTTTGACCAACTTGTGCATCTCCTTACAGGCTGCAGTAGATGTGTAATTTTAGAGAGGTAGTTTACTTCAATAAATAGCATGTATATAAATACTTAGTGAATATACAATCTGGTTGAAATAATGTACACTGTGTTATCGATCAAGTACGATGCATAGAAATTGTTGAACATACAGTTATTTGTTCACATGCATATTGCAATTAGTCATCACAGCAGTATGCATAGTGTAATGGTATGCATACATTTGGAATGGTTATTGGTGTTTTGACCCATTTGTGCATCTCCTTGCAAGCTGCAGTGGGTATGTAATTTTATCTATATGACTAATACTAATTTGCCTATAAACACCTTACACGGGGTGATCTATGAGGTACAATCAGTTTACAAACATGTACATTATGTTAGATATTAGTTACTTGACTGTGTATATCTGTAAAAGGTAGTGTAATGGTACGCATAAATTTGGAATGGTTATTTGTCCTGATAATCACGAAATATTAGCTAACTTGTGAGGGTATTTAAGTCTTTTTGGTCATGATGATGTAACAAATGGGACCTAAAATTCTAACATGGGAGGTTTGTGATATTTTTGAAACCACAGGGGATGAGAGAGAGACTGTCAGAAAGCTCAGGGGAGGTATCTGAAATTATCCCTATAAAGAAAGCAAATTATAAGGGCCATCTGTGGATGTTAGCCTAGGCTAAAAAGTAACAAAATTATATAGCATTAGATTACTGTTTCTGCACTGTCAGTTTTTTTTTTTTTTGGAATATTTTGTGTTTTGGAACTACAAAGGAGGAAGCAAAGAGGGAATGCAGTATATTCATTCACACCAACGGAAGTTCACTATGTTCTGAACTCGGAAGGATTTCATTCATGCCAGGAATGAAGTATTTTTGTATATTTTATGCTTATGGTTATTCCTCCCTGCTATGGAGAATCTTCCCTAGCGTGCCTGGAAGCATCCGAGTGCATTCACACCAATGTTCATTACCGAATATTCTGAGTCTTTGTCTATTTTTCTGTTTGTTTGTCGGTTATTTTTTTAGCATGATCATGAGTCTAATTGTGTAATTATCAATTATTGGCAATTCCACATTTATTATGAAATGATGTGATGCGGGGTGGAAGCGTAATAAACTAAAGGGGTTCACCAACACCATCCATAAGGAAGAAACAAGGGTTGATTTATGATCAAGCTTGAAAATATCATGATCCAAATAAAAATCTAGGAACATGAGAAAACTCACATAATTGGAATTTCCAATCAAATTTAAATATTATTTGATAAAAAAAGAGTTAATCCAACAGGGTCTAGATATGTCTATTTATTAGCACTACTATGAATACATAAGAAATACGAAATAATTAGTCTAGATACTTAACTAATAAGATTCACCTAAAACTTCTAATTAGGATAGGAAACAAAATAATACAAAAATAGGAAAACAAACATCAAAACGACCCTAAACGCCGGTCTTTAGGCCGGACATACTCTGATGATCACCAACAGGATATCCAGCGCCGATCATGAAGCCAGACTTGGCGTCGGGCTTCCTCTAAACTTTGACGCGCATGGCTTTCTTTTTCTTTCTTCTTGCTTTTCTTCGAATGGAACCTCGCCACCAACAATAACAATAATATCATACTAAAATAAATAAAAATAACAATAAAATGATAAAAAATATCCTAATTAAGAACCCTAAATTAAGCGTTACCGATACAAACAAGAGACTCGTGAATCCGTGGGGTCTCCATTTTGTATCAGACTTTCTCACTTAAAAAGAACTTGTCCTCTAGTTCTACAGAGAAGTTTAATAAGGAATCATGAAAAGACATAGCTATGATCCTGCCATGAATTTTATAGGGTCGATGCTTGCAATGAAACTTTTACACCCAATTGTGAATGTAGGAAGTTGTATATGATCCTGACACAATTTCAAAATCAACAACGTTGTAATCCACCATAGTCAAAATAAACTTTAGGATGTTTCCCTGATTGACAAGAAACTCAACCTGTTCTTCACATAAAATTGTCAATAGAAGAAAATTTATCAAACATAATTTTTCCATCAAAAGTGGTATTTTTTTGGCTTGGGAAAACAGCTGATCCCATGAATGTGATGGACAACCCAAGAAGTGCGATGGATTTGCAATTGGAGGAATTTTGTTGATTCAATATCCACAAGGTCTTTTATTTCCATCATCCTAGATCACAATTACATCGTCAAATTTACTAGACGCCAAATCTAGTTGGAGTTCAGCAGTTGAATTACGAACTTCAATGTCTTTGGCGCCTTCAACTTTCTTTGTACCTGTTTTAAAATTATAATCTATAAACAACAAATTAGTCTCTTTCAATTGATTAGACCAAAATTGTGAACTAGGCGTCTATTGCATTCGAATGATATTTTTGCCATCTTTGACAAATCAATAGACATTTTTCCTTCCATAGAAAATCACATCCCGATCATGTATTGCCACAGTCTCCCAAATAATACATAATATGCATCCATATCTACAACATCACGCATGACTGATTGATAAGCTTTAATCCAGAGGTTAAATTAATTCCCTAATTATTTTCTTGTCAAGCTATTAACGCATCACACAATTATATTTTGGATTATTTCTCGATGCATCTAAATTGTGCCTAACCAAATTTTACATCTCTCTCGAGACCACAAACATTCAATTAAACCCTTTAACAACTTTGGTGATATAAGTGCGTTATACAATCCTAACCTACTCTCGTAACTAAGTTAAATATGTTAATTTATCTGGTGCACGGTTGCATCTCCATTCTCAATTTGATACAAACCCTAAAGTCATGTTCATGGTGATCAGCCATAAACACGCAATAAAAAGGCAAGATAAATAAATTATAGAAAAAGAAAAGAACTTTAATTGAGAAAGTTAATCAAGGCTTCTTTGTAAGAAATCAAGTCTTCTTTATAAGAACCCTAACCCTAGCATAAATTGAGTGCAACATTGTGAAGGAATCAAACCACAAGTTCAAGAAGTAATACAAAGGGAAGAAATTGAGATAGAAAAACTTCCCAATGCTCGTCGCCAATTTTCTCCCTTGTGCTCCTTGATTCTCTTCTGTTGATCTTGATCTCTCAAGAACAAGCTATAAGAAGATGTAAAAGTATATTGCTCTTGCTAAAACTAGTGTTTTTCCTCCCTTAAAATGACCTAAATAACTCCTATTTATAACCTCTAGAAGTTACAAGTGAATCCCCTTTGGATTAGGTTTCTTTCAGCTTTAAAACAAACGTGCGCGTCAAGACCTGATGAAGACCGGCGCCGAAGTTCCTTTGGACTTCAGTTGCTCGCTTCGTCAGACCAACACCGGCGATAGGACCAGTGCAAACACTGGTGTCGGAGTTGGTCTCTCAAACTCCGATTCGTTTCCTTTCTTAGCCGTTTCTGATTAACACCTTGTTATTTTCCTGCAACATCAAAACAATACTAAATTAAGCGGCTCTACATCCTGATGGGTGCTATTAGGATCCAAGCGCGAAAAACACAACTATTGAGATATCAAGTATACAACGATTTAATGGAAAATAAACCACAAACATGAAAGATAAACGATACACAATATTTAACGTGGTTCGACTCTACCATCGAGTCTACGTCCATAGAGAGAAATCCGTCCTTTATTATGAGTGAAAAACCTTATACAAGAATACAACTTGAATCCAATCCCAACCCTTGTATACTATCTCTCATCTCCCAAGAACCCTCTCTCACACCCCATGTATAAGGCTACATGATGCATTTGTGTCTTCTTTTATGTCTCTTGTGTAGTATACCAACCCACCTATTTATAGGGAATATTATTTGGTCAAAATCCAAATAACAATAGAAAATCAATTCTAATTTCTAGACTTACACAGAATAGGAAA